TCCTCCCGATTCTCCCCCCCATCCCACTGTGGGGAGGGAGTGAGCGAGCTGTGTGGTGTTCAGCTGCTGCCGGGTTAAATTACAAGAAGAGCTATTGTGTATTCGAGACCTCAGGCAAGGTTCAGAGTTTAAGATGAGCATTTTGATGTGATCATATATGAAATGCAGGTGGAGTCAGCTTAATTTAACATTCATTAAGTCAACAAAATGCAGGTGGATGTTTTCTTAAATATTACTTCATAGGGCTGAAGGTCCCAGGGCATAATGCATTAATCATAATAAAATTTTCTTGCATCAGTGTAGATATTTTTGCTTAACAGGCTGTCCTGGAACTCTACGGTACAAACCATGTTCAGTATGATCGTTACCTGCTACTGGTTTGCATCAGCAGTATATGGCAATGATGCTCAACCTATGATGCATATAAGGTTTAGGTATCCAGTCAGGATAGTTCATTCATGCTGTAATAAAGCTCTGTCCCCTCCAAGGGCCACAGTGAATGAAGATGTTGGAGAATAGCCCTGAGTTGCTCTGGCAAGAGCAATATAATGTAGACTTTGGGAGCCAACGGGGAAAGAACTTACGTGTGCTTACGTGCTGTGTAATACAGTATGCAAGAAGCCCAGTTCTTCTGAGATATTCATGCACAAATTAACTGTAGTGTGGTAGATCTTGTCATATAGTTATAATGCAGCAAATGGCCTTCTCAGCTTGTTTGGCAGGAAAGATTTGCTGCAAAGCATTTTGTTATAAAATATCAAGTTTTAAACTGCATGATAGTGAAGCAAAATATGGTAACCTTATGTAATGGCATACAAAACTATCCTCTTCGGCATAAAAAACATAAGAGATCTTTATCACTTGTGACTAGGTTCATTTTTGCATAATACTGTATATACTAATAGGAACTAGGCTATGTGCTTGGTTAGCTAGAATGAGAGCCATCATTAACCTGCTGTTCAAAAGACCTGGAGGAAATGTACAGAAGAAAATAGACTTTGATTCATAAATTTTGGGTGCACAGAGTGTTTGAAATATGTTTTGCTAATTCATCAGCATCTTTTGAAAATTTTTAAGTGGATGGTAGCAGCTGTGAAGGGCCATCATCTTGGTGCCTGCGGTTACTGCACCTCCCACGTGTTTTAGCGATTGGGCTGTTTCTCATCTCATGTTTCACTGACCTCTGCTTAACAGGTCTCTAGCGCAGAGACTACTAGAAAGAATGAAGTGTAAATTAACTTGCTCTTGAACCTACAAGGTGGCAAGATAGTTTGTTGACAGACCTCAGTTTTTATCTGCCTGAGAATTTCCATTGTTTTGGCAAATTTGTTATACACCTTCTAATAAAGATGTGAGCCCCTGGATACGTTGCTGAGAAAAAGATCACATTAATATGCTATACTGTCCAGGCCTATTGTGTTTTGGTGATCATAAATCCTGGGCTTTAGTAGTGAGGGGACTTTTTTTTGAATGAATGAATGCTGTTTTGTATAATAACAGTTGTAAATGAAAATAATTTCTGTTTTTTTACAGGTTCAGCATAGATGAAGGCCAGACTTGGAGTACACATAATTTTACCAGCACTTCAGTCTTCGTAGATGGATTACTTAGTGAACCTGGAGATGAGACACTGGTCATGACGTAAGTTTCTGGTTTCATCTCTTTTTTCAGGGTACTCTCTGCTTATGCACTTGAGCATATTTTTAATTGTGGATGTTTGAGATAGTCCTTGAGTCAGTGGCTTTTGCTTCTTGCAGTCATACAGACTCTTACACTGATGTCCAAACAGCCCTAGTATGCAACCTGTCTTTGAAATTATCTGAGTGCAGTATTTCAGATTGTAAAGATGAAGTGTTGTGTTCATATGAAATTTCACAAAGTTACCACCAGGGAGAGTGGATTAATAGGACTGCAAATACAAATCTGAGAAACTTAGGTAAAAAAATAACTATTATTTCCTGCATTTTTCTGCTTTCTTTCAGATTCTTAGGCAGACTTAAAAAATGCTAAATATCTATCCCTTCTTCTTGTGAAAATTGTCTTCACAGTGTAAACAACTATGTTGTTGTCCTAGTAACTAGCATTGCAGTACTTTGTGTAACTGAACACTGTGCTAACAAATACACATTTTAATTCTGTGCAGTGACTGAGGCAGATGCTGTCAGTAGAGTTAAAAATAACCAAATTCTGCAGCTCAGGCTCCTGTTTATCTTTTTCAAAAGGGCCAGGGACATCTGGATCTGAGCTGCAGGTTTTGCTCTGTCTCTGGGATAAGTGTGTCTGAGACTAAAAAACACCTCTCCAATGAGAGAGAAAGGCACATGCTGACTGCAGCAGGAAAGGGGAATGCGCTCAGAGATGTGCAGGTTGTTACGTGTGCTCCTATCAGAACAGCTTGTGTGATCCTTTATATTGGAGCTCAGTGTGTTCATGACAAGCTTTTTCTCCTAGGAGTTACAAATAGAGCTGCCTTTGATGTGTACCAATAGCATTTTCCCCAGGAAAAAAAAATAGCCCAGTGTGGAGTTGTGTAAAGGATCCTCAGCAGAACAGAAATCCTGCCCAATGTACTTAAAAGCATTGCGCCAAGTTCATAACACTGTACTGCGCAGGAGTGAAATTGGTCTGCTAGTTCTTTCTTCCATTCTCCACTGTCCCGTTTATCCTCTGTTATACATATATGACCTAAGAACAACAGTATTTCTCCACCATCTTCCCCTTCTCTCAAGCATAGCGTTTTTTGATGGTATAATATATGCCAAACGGAGATACTTATGCCTCTGAATGAAGGATTTCCATTGATTTCAGTGGAAGTAGAGGGATCAAAAGCTTATCCTAAACTGTACTTACTGGCAGCTAAAATGATGTGTGATGACTATATGCTCTGTGGGGTTTTTTATTATTAAGTATCATTAAAACCAGTCATTTTGTGAAGATGTACTTAAATATCTGGCTGAATAGGCTAAAGAGCTCATGTAAAATGATACCTTTTTGAAATCATCCATCTGAAATATATAAAACTGTAGCTAGATTTGGTACATGAGCCCAGATTGACAAAAAAGCAGCATGTGACTTGTATGTTTCTAAGAGCGGAAGAAGAGTCTAACTCCAGCATCTCAGTGTTGTAGATGAGATGCGTTGTAGGATCTTACTTTGCAGCTAGTTCTACTGAACGTGGAGGACATCAGCTACTTACTGTCACAAACTGGCCCTGAAAAGACTTGCAGCCTTCCTACCAGACTCTAAAGATAATGTGAAGAATAAACTTACAAAATGTATTTCCTTGTTGTCATTATATCAGCTTCCATGTCTCTCCTACTGCTTTTGATTGGGTTTTACCTTCAGGGTGACGTTGTCTGCCCAGTGGTGCTCTGTCTGACTTTACATCAAGACTTTTTGTTGTTCTGTCTGGCTTAGGTAATTTTCTCTCAAGACTTCATGCTTGTACTGAGTTGCTGTGCATGATTTAATCTACAGTGATTTGCTGCTTTTGAGAAATGTCACCCCTGATGAGATACGCACTCCCTGAAAAAAAAGAAATCAACTATGCCATCTTTTCTATTTTATTAGATAAAAATAGTTTTCTTCTGGGTAAAACATGGTAAGATGAACTTGTGTATGGTAATGGGAGTAAATTAACAGTGTCTTTCACCCTAAAGAATCCCCAAATCCATTACTAAAGACATAGACTGACATTTTTTACTTGTACAGGAATTTCATTTTCTCCCTTTGGTAGGGAGTTTGAGTAAGGACTTTGAGTAGAGAGTCCAATATCAAAATCTGCATAAATTAGTAGAGATAACATAATTCTGAAGTGGGAAGGTAATAACTGAAAAATTGTACAGCAAAATTGTGGAACAGAGACTGTTTTATTTAAAGCTTCTAGAATAAACTCACAAAAGAGTCAAAGAATATTTTACTTGTATGGAAAGCAGCTGTTACTGTAGGGTAAAATCCTGCTTCCACTGAAACCAGCTTAGGGATTTCCTTCAAGGTTTTTAATTTTTATTTTTAAAAAAAAAAATTCACAAAAAGATTATCTGGGAAAGACATTAAGGGACCTGGTAACCCTGTGTGTAAGAGAGACTTCTCATTCTCCAGCATGGTGGCTGGGACATTGACCTGACTCATAAGGGACTTCCATTTGAATTCCTTTTCTATCCTAACTTATTCAAAATGAAGTGGTCTGGAAAGCTTTACTGAAGAAACAAGGCAATGTGAACCTGATTGCCTCAAGTCTTCATTTCAGAAGGTTTTGTGTTTTCTTCAAAACAGAGAAAAAACAAATGTTGACCTGTTAAAAGTTTTCATAAAACTGAGTTGTCATCTGCCAGTCGACATTAATCTAAATCATTCATCCAAATCCCCTGCAGCATTCAAAATATGTACACTCAAATGCCAAGGAAAATATATTTTATTCCATTGTGCTCTGCAAGAGACCTGGTTAAGATTTTTAAGAGTTTTAAGTGGTAAAGTATTCAAAAACTTTAGGAAACTCATTCTGTGTAAAAATCAATTTCTAAATAGACCTAGTTAAGAGTTTTAGGAAAGATAAGCAATAAAGTATTCATAAAGTTTAGGAAGCTCGATCTGTGTAAAAATAGATTTCTAAATGAAGAGCTCAAATCCACCGTTTATTGCTAAATGAGTAAATAATGTTTGCTAAGAAATTTTCTCAACTAGTTGATATATATTCATCAAAATAGTGCATGGTATAGTAGGCTTTATTTTGTTCTAAATTCTTTAAGAATGAAAGTTACTGCAACCCAGTGTTATACTTAACAATATATTATATTTGGGAAAAATTACTTAATAACGCTGGATTGAGTAATGGCCTAACTCAGTGGAAAAAGGAAGAATTCTTGTGTGTCTGAAATATTGATGTTCCTCTTCAGAGGAAGTTGTTCATATAATGAAAGTTTCAAACCTGTTAAAATTACTTCTAAATCACAGTTCAGCTTCTGGGAGTGTTTCCCAAACTGGGTTATTTAAATTGCAGTGTAAATCCAGTAGGCATGATAACCATGGTACTGCAGACCATAGCCCCTTTTAAAAGGCCAGTAGGAGGTTACATACAAGGATAGGACAAGGAGTAATGGCTTTAAACTGAAAGAGGGTAGATTTAGATTAGATATTAGGAGGGAATTCTTCACTGTGAGGGTGGTGAGGCACTGGAACAGGTTCCGGAGAGAAGTTGTGGATGCCCTATCCCTGGAAGTCTTCAAGGCCAGGTTGGATGGGGCTTTGATCAACCTGGTCTAGTGGAAGGTGTCCCTGCCCATGGCAGGGGGGGGGGGGG